CTCAGTGAAGGAGGTCCAACGCCTTAACGGGAGAATAGCAGCCCTCAACAAGTTTGTCTCAAAATCAGCAGACAAGTGCTTGCCTTTCTTCAAATCCTCTACAAATCAATCAAGTGGGGACCAGATGCATAGGAGGCCTTCTAGAAGCTCAAGTCCTACCTCATCACACCACCCTTGTTCTCCCATGTTGTACCAAGAGAGACCTTGTATCTCTACCTCTCCTCTTCATCCTCTCTCGTGAGCTCTGCCCTTGTCTGGGAGGATAGAGGCATTCAAAAGCCTGTGTACTATGTAAGCAGGGCATATCGAGGGACAGATGTAAAATACTCAGAGCTTGAAAAATTGGCTCTTGAACTTGTCACCGCCGCCAAGCATCTACGCCACTACTTTCAAAGTCATACCATTGTGGTTGTTATAGATGAACCACTCAAGAGAATTCTGGGAAAGCCTAACTTGTTCAGTCGATTACTAAAATGGGTTGTTGAATTAACTGAGTTTGATGTGTAGTACCAGCCAAGAGCAGCCGTCAAAGTACAAGCATTTACGGACTTCGTGGTTGAGTCTACACCACCACAGGAGTCCCATGAAGAAGAATCACGCGCCCTTGCACTCACCTGTTCAGTGCATAATGCCTCCACCCACCATGAGGCAAGCCCAGACACTATCCCGAGAGGGCCTAACGCCTCGGAGACAGCTCCACAAGTCCCGAGAGACCACACTCCGAGACTAGAGGTGCCTGACTCCCATGTTCTTACTCCACTAGAGCCCTCCGTGCCCTCGCTACCATCTATTGTACCATGTTAGAGACTATACATGAATGGATCCTTCATAAGCGAGGGCGGCAATGCAGGACTACTACTAATCAGCCCCTATGGCGCTCCACTCAAGTACATTGTCTCCCTCTATTTTGCAACATCAAATAACTAAGTTGAATATGAGGCCTTCATATCAAGCTGAATATGTAGTCCAAACTTTGTTAAAAAGGTTTACCTACTTCCAAATCCACCATGTGCTCCGACAGGAGAATGTCATGGCAAATGCCCTCGACAAATTTGCGTTTGCCAACATACTCATAGGCCCAGCACTAACAGACCACTAGTTTGAGTCAAGCACTTTCAAGGGAGAGGGCGAGGTTAATTGTACATCATCTGAAGACAATTGGATAACACCCATTCGAGCCTACCTAAAGGAGGGCGGTCTCCAGGACAATCTAGTGGAAGCCAAAAAGTTGAGGATGAGATTCAGGTATGTCATCTTACGTGACACACTCTACAAAGAGAGTTACCCACTGCCAATTTACCCCCAAGGAAGTCAATTATGCCATGAGAAAAATCCATAAGGGGATATGTGAAAATTACTCGGGAGGGCGTGTACTAGCCCACAAAGCAGTAAGACAAGGATATTACTAGGCTAGCCTGATCCGAGATGCCTAAGAGTTCGTCAAGAAGTGCAATAAGTGTCAATGCTTTGCAACTGTACCCAGACAGCTACCAGAAGAGCTCACCACCATTCAGAGCCCGTGGCCTTTCTCTATGTGGGGGATCGACATCTTGGGTCCCTTACCCATGAGTTGAGGTCAATGCAAATTTGTAATGATAGCCATCGACTAATTCACTAAGTGGGCAAAAGTCGAAGCCTTGAGAAGGATAACATACTAGAAGGTGAAAGATTTCATCTGAAGGAGTATAGTCTGCCGCTTTACAGTACCTCACGCCATTGTAAGTGACAATGTCAAGTAGTTTGACAACAAAATCCTTAACAGCTTCTGTGCTAACCTACAAACCAAGCAATCTCACTCCAGCCCGGGCCATCCATAGGTGAACAGACAGGTAGAGGTCAGTGTCAGGACCATCCTCCACAATTTGAAAACTAGATTGGAGAGTGCAAAAAGACAATGGGTAGATGAACTTCTGGGAGTGCTGTGGGCTTATCGGACAACACCAAGAAGCCTGCACGGGCAAGACCCCTTTTTTCCTAGCCTATGGAACAGGGGCAGTCGTACACTCCCTTAGGGTCCAGCACCATGAATCTACCAATAATGAAGAAGGTTTCCATATCAATCTCGACTTGATAGAGGAGGAGAGTGAGATAATCATGCTTAGGAATGCAAAGTACAAGTGTTGCATGACTAAGTACTACAACTCAAGGGTGAAGCCTCGCTCCTTCTTGCTTGAAGACCTAGTCCTAAAAAAGGTCATCCTATCTACCAAATACTCTCAGAAATGGAAGCTAGGACCTAACTAGGAAGGACCCTACATGGTTACAGAAGTTGTAAGACCGGGCACCTACAGAATTCAGAATTCTGAGAGAAAAGTTCTAGCCCATCTGTGGAACGCAAAACACCTAAATAAATATTACTAATAACTAAGGGCAAGACAGTGAGTGTATAAGTCAGTAGTCACCATTTAGATTATCTATTGTTGTTTTGGTCAATTTTCCTTGATATTTACTTCGGATTATGAAATAAAATTTCAAAAGACTTTTTCAAAAAGTTGTATCTCATTTCATAGAAGTTCATAAAACATTTACAAAAGATAGAACATGGTCTAGCAACAAAACACAGCTACCATGCTCCTAACGTCACTCACTACCCCCTGATCTGCTCCCATCATCATCATCAGTCCCTGGAGCTTTATAGGAGATGAAACCAAAAAAGTCATAAGTAGAAAAAAGCTACTGAGACCTTCCCCTTGAGCTCCTCATAGTCATTAATAAAGGCGTCTGCCACGGCCCTCTCAACAGCATTTCTCTTCTTCGCCATCTCCATGGAGTAAGCCTCTACCCTCGTAGCTCTCTCAAGAGTTATTCGAAGGTCAATCTCTACTCTAGCAGCTCTCTTACGGGACGCTCACAACTCTGTCTCTGCTCTTACGCAAGTAGCTTCTTTGTCAGTCTCCAACTGGGCGTCCCTCTTATGGGATGCCAAAAGCTCGATCTTAAGTGTGGCAACTCTCTCGTGTGCTAGTCTCAACTACTCCTTGGCAACCTCTCACGTCTGTCTCTCGAGCCCTAACTGCTCCTCAGTAGCCCTTTGTACCTGCCTCTTTGCTGCCTGACCACCAAGCGTCTCCCTAAGTTTCAACGTGCTCGAAAATAAGCAAGGAAAGACAATAGCCACCTAGAAGTTTCCAAAAGCCAAAACATGAAAAAAGGAAGTCACGTACAAGATCAAAGATGCATAAAGGGCATACCAAAGCAAAGCCTTCCATCACTGTGTCGATGACGCCCTCTAGACCTCGAGAACCAACCTCTTGGATCTCCATGACGTTCACAAACCCCCAAAGTCACTCCTTGGCCAGATTTATGCCCTGCAGTATGGACACCGAACCACTTTTAGAAGCACGACAGTCAGGTGGAGCCTCAGTCCTCGTAGGAGACCACACTGAAGCCTTAGTCCCTACGGCTATACTGGGATGAACTCTGGAAGGCGATGGTACCACAGTAGGGGAAGGTGCAAGGGCATCACCAAGTCCTACCTCTTGGGGACTATCTTGGCCAACAGGCCTCAACTGAGAAACACCGGGGGCATCCGACCTCGCCCTCTTAGAAGAGGAGGGGAAAAAGTCACCCTGGAAGCGTAGATAGCCTCCACTATCGCCCTATCAATATAAGTACCTATAAACTTGGTGTGAGACAAAGAGCTTACAATGATATAACCTTCAAGAGTCTATAGGAAGGATTATATACCTTTCCTCTTCGGCCTATAAGAAACCTTGGGACGACCCGATGTGGACATAATCTCCGAGAATTCCTTGAAATGATGGTCACGAACTATTTGGAGTCTACTCTCTTGCTTCGTAGATAATGTGGGTGAAATTACAAAGAAACCAATTGCACAGTGAGATCAGATATGTGACTACTAGAAGTAAAAGTAAAAGTGAAATTCTTACCTAACTTGGTCCTCGGGACGGTGTCCCACCTCGAAGACACCAGGTCACGATCTCTCTCATTGGCCCACTTGCCTCCAACAAAGAAGTACTTACACTTCCAGCTATGACAGTTCGAAGGAAACCCAGTGATGAACTTGCCTGACTTCGGGGAGAAACGACACCACCCTTTATGAGGAAATGGGTTATCGAGAAGCACATACGTGACCAAAAACTCCTCAAATAGGGGAGGGATGTCAACACTATGACTAACCGCCATAATGACAAGAATGTCAGTATCACCCTCCACCCATTGGGAGCCAACCTCCTGGGAGCCAGTGACAGATGTCCCAAGACTCGACATAGGGGCCCAGGTATTAGGAACCTCAAACCCACCTCTAAGGAATCCTCATAAAGAACAATCTCACTTGAGGAGTCATAACATGCTAGCTCATCCTCCTCTGCCCGATGACACATGACAGCAAGAGGGATACTATATGAAGATACAATATGAGTGATATCATCATCACAGTCAATGAAGCTAAATATGGAAGTTATCTTTGAGCCGTTATCTCCAACAGTCCCCTTGCTTCGCTCGATGTCTTGAGTAGCCTCCCCCATGATGTCCTTGTCAGAGTGGGTGTCTATTAACAAACAGAACCAAGACAGAATCAAAGTCAATGTCAAGGGAATACCAGTGTCTATTGGGCTTTTTTTTGTGGAGTTTAGTTGTGTTTGATTTAGATGATGAACCGACCATAAATAATGGTTCATGACTTTTAATAGGAGATTTTCTGAGGTTTAGTCCATAGAGCGGAGGCTTGGGCGTTGTCTAGGCTCTGTCCAACACCTTTTTTCCCTTGTTGACAGACACCACTGTTACCAACGGACTTCCCCGCACACTTACCGACATTGCCCAGCATGCCCAAGCCTCCATAGGCATCCTCCTGACCACCGACACCTCCTCTGTGCCCAACGTCGTCGTCTATGTAGTTGGCTCCGCCTTGGCCTCCAATGCCTCACTAGCCTCGACCATTGGGCTCCAATTGGCGTTGCCCCCTTCATCAAGGCCTGGTGTCGCCTAGGCTTTGCTTGGCGTCGCCTAGACTTTGTTTGGCGTCGCCTAAGCGACCTATGGTGTCGCTCAAGCAGCCTCCACCTCCATCGATGTCTGTGCCTAGGGTGCCGCCGCCAATAGGGCTAATGCCTCCTTCTCCAGTGTCTCCCTCTTTGGCGTTTCCCTCTCTGATGTCTCCCTCTTCGGCCTCTCCAATAACCCAGCAGCCCCCGATGGCAAGGGCGTCACCCATGGGACTGGCCCTGCCTAGTGCTCGAATGGCGTCATTGTCAGCAACGAGGATGCTGACCTGGCTGCCCTTTCTTATCATGTCTGCGATAACTCACTTTATGCCACTCATCTGCTTGCCATCTGGCCTAGGATCGAAGAACTCTATGGTGCTACCCTTGGGGTTCCCCATTGGTCTCCCTGGCTTTGGAGTTGTCTTCTTCACCTAGCCTTTCTACCCTCAATGAATGAAAAGAGGGTTTCAAGGTTTTATAAGCCTTAGGTACCGGGGAAATATTTTAGGAAGATCTTTAAAGCCCTAAAAGAATCGAGCCTAAATGAGAGGACGTTTGTTAAATTTACAAAAGACCTACACAGAGAGTGATCGCCATTGCAATCCAAGGTGGGTCACAAATTTTTATAGACAAAAATGGAAAGCCAAAGAAGTCATTACCATAGAGAACAAGAAATCCTTTTCAAACGATAAGGCTCACTCATGCCCTCAACCTTTTTTTGTCATTACTAATTGTAATGATGAGCCCAAATTCAACTGGGTTAGGCCGGATAAATCAAGCAAGTCCAAATCAACTAAAAGACAAGTCAAGCCGAGTTCGTGAATTCAACCCAACTTAAGGTCCAAGGAATCCAAGAAGATTAAAGCACATGGGTAGCAATCATCAAGATACCCACTCTCCAAGATCAAAACACCTTTTAATTGTACTTATCTTTTGTAGCTATCATCCCCAAAGAATTAGTGTCTTCCCCCTCAAGTCACCGCCTCAACTAAGGCTCTGTGACTATAAATTATAAGCTCTCTCCATTGAGAGGAGTATCTCTACATCTCTCTACACACCCCTCACATAGTATTGCTCTCTCCGAGCTATTGTACCCCTCCTAAAGCTAGCCAATGCTCTCTCTCTCTCTCTCTCGTTTACCTTATTTTATTAATAAAGATACCCCGGCCATCGTTGTCATTTCCTGGAGTGGAGCAGGTCACCCGAACTGAACTACTATATATCTGTACGTTGACCTAATATTTATATTATTGTCATTGATTATTCTATTAATTATCCATTAATTACACTTTATCGCATACTCGACTATTAATCTTGCATAAGCATATTTTGTGCATCATCAAGTAATACATAAAAATGTATTTAAAATAAATTCTTCAGGAACTTAATATAACAATGCGTTGATCTTCATGATGACATTATTCTTCTCTTTCTTATTTTTTTTTTCTTTATTTTTGTTGCTTTTCAGTGTCTAATTCCTTTTATAGGTAAAGCTTACAAGTGATTTTAAGACTATCAGGCAAAGGGAGGGGAGACAAGGATTGAATGACCGGACAGAAGGAATTCAATGGTCACCTCCTTTTTAGATGGGTGGTCATTACGCTTGCCTTTACAATAATTTTTTTTTTGTTTTTTTTTTTGGGATAGTGTGGTGGTTGCTATGTTCAAGTGTCTACTGTCATCTGATAGATGATGAATTTTCACGAGGGTTTAAGAATTGCCCATCATCATTGACATTAACGGGATCCTCAAAGCATATACCACATTGGAAATTAATTTTGTATATTTTCGTATCTTTTAATATCTTTGTAATACTGTAAAACTGTTGTTCCTCAAAATAATATCGTTTTGCATGTAAATTGGGGCGTTATTTTAGAAAAAAAAAACATAAAAGATTTTATCTTAAGGTTACGTCGATGATAACAATCTTAATGAGATACTTGAGTTTCAATTAACATAGTAATATCATATTTAGTAGTATAACAAATAAAAATTTTTTTTCTTTCTCCTTTTTGAATTGAACAATTTGAAATTAATTTCTTTGTATTATTTTTTTAAAAAAATTGTCAAACATTAGTCACACCTGATCGTGTCAGTGAGTCATTAATTCTCGGTGTCGAGCGTTAAATGCATTTGAACGCATCAACTCGTTTTCCCCAGGATTGAGATCCATCAGCCTGGGGTTCTCATGCATCTCCTCCTTTCACGGGTCCATTTTCCACACGGCCTCCTAACCACGTCCTGTCAAGGTAAATACTAATTAGAATAAACATGAGATAACCCTATTAAACATAGGATATGAGTAAAACACATTTTAACAAATCACAATTTAAACATGAGACACACCTGTGTGAAGGTATTCATAATCTCATCGACATGGTGTTAATGCCACAGCTCATATGGATCTTGGCATAAGATTAAGGCCGAACGACACCGTAAAGTTTAAACCCTCAAAAAATTTTAAGGTACAAAATGTCATTTGCCAAATTGACCTTGTCTTCCTTATCTCTCAAGTCTTGACCTGAGTTACCAAACACGACCGCTATGTTGTGGAAATAAAACAAAAGTTTGTGGGTGTATGTATATTTAATTTTTCTTGACAACGACAACCCAGTCGACGCCCATTTCAACCTTCAACTGGAAGCTGAATTCAATCAGCTTACACCATACGCTTCACATGGAATTCGAAGGTAAGTCGCTGAGTATAAGTATATTAGCTTCCTTGAACGAGGGTAGTTACTACTTAATCAGTGAGCGATGAACCCAATTGAAGAAGAAGAAGAAATGCCGAACCTCCTGTCCGAACCTATTCTGGAAATCCCTAGATATAGCTCTTCAAATCTATGAACAAAAACCCAGGTATGTTTTTGGTTCTCGCAGTTATTAGATTACTGTTCTTTTTTACTTTGTGAAATTAAGGCTTAGCACTGCAATTTCAAAGACTGAAATGGCACCATCTTAGACACTGTATGATGTTGATGATAATGATAATGATGTTGATGATATCCACCCCATAGCATAGTGATGGAATGACATTATTTTGATTCTCCTTTATTAGATTATTCTAGCTTCATTATCCTATGGATTATTACTTATTCTACTGTTTGTGCATGTTTGTGGAGGTATATTGGTCGGAAGGATTAAAATTTTGTTTCGATGTTTTGTTTCGGTTATCTAGGAAACGAAAACGATTCGACATGTTTCGGAAACGTTTCAACCTATTTCGGAAACATAATGAAAAAAATTAAAAATTATTTTTTTAAAACATTGATTAGAATATATCAAAGTATCTTAAAATACCTTGAAATATTATGAAATAATTATGCAAATGCATTAAAACATTATAGAACATCTGAAAATATTATGAAATACTTCGAAATATTAGAATTTCGATTACATCACTGTTTCGTTTCGATCTCCTTAAAAACGGAAATATTTTAGACGTTTCGAAACAATATTTTGATTATTGATCGGGTGTAAAGTTTTTAAGTGTTTTTTTAAAAGGTTTTGCTTTTTTCTATATTAGTAAGGTGGTGGTATTTATCATTATTTTACAATTTTACGCATCACAAAACTAGGAAAACCCTAGTGCTCATCCTTTTTTATTTATTTGGAAAAAATTACCCAGACACCTTGACTTTTGAACAAACAACAATGCGACCCCTAACAATTTTTAAAATAACATATCAACTTCTTAAAAAGGGCAAACTGTAAAAGATGCATCCCGTTCGCCTAATTGATGATCATATGGACAATGATAAAGAACGATGTCCGTAATAAACAAATGTATGTATCCATAAATATATATTTAATCAATTAAGTATATCAGGTTGACTCAAATATTTATTTGAAAAATATTAAGATGGATAGAGTTTGTGTAACTTTTGGTCCAATTGATTTTGTACTGCAAAAAATTGATGCATCACAAGGGATTATATTGGTGTAAATTGAGGCCCTTTTAGCCAACTCAATATTAATATCATGAAATAAATAATCTAACCAAACACCAAATTGGAGTGGTTACGTATTATGTAACTATTAGTCCTGCACTTGACAAAAACAAGATGAGAAATGGTACTATTTTTGTGCCCTCTTTAATCCCATGTTTTATACATCTATGTGGGATTGTATTTCCTAATCCAATCCCTATATTCCTAATACATTATCCAAATGAGCCCTAACATGCATAATAGGCGTTATTTATATATTAAGATGCATATAGTTTTATTTTGTTAGATAGTAATTAGCCATATTTTTACTCGTTTGATGAAAAAAAAAATTCTTAAATAAATTGGTCAAAATGCATTACTTAAAAAAATTCTTAGATATTGCTTGCCTAAATTGATTGTTAGAGTAAATAGCAAGATGGATCAATTTATTCGCTAATCAAGGGTGCTAAAAGGGGTGGACGTGTGGAAATCTTCTATCCATGATTTAAACGTATTTCCTTTTGCTTCTTGCTCATGTTTTGGAACGAAATTCTCTTGCATTCTAATTAAATGTTCATGTATTACACCCATGTAATACTAAATTTCTGTTTAGGTCTATAAACACATGCATGCATATATTTCACTACAGTATTGTAATCTATATGGTTGACAAAACTCAGGTTTCAATTATAATTAGTTCTAGAAAAAGCTGGTATCATGTGTTTAAAGAGGATCATTTCAAGGTTTATATATTAGAACTCAGGATTGAATTCTGATTAATTCCAAAAAAAACTGGTTTGTCTATCTTATAAATAAGTGATTAAAAAATTATATAATTTAGTAAACAAAATATCTCTTTGTTGCCTATTGCTCTTTTTTTTTTTCTGTTTCTGTTTTGGTCTTTTGGGGTGGGGGGGGGGGCATATTGGCCCCTACTCTGTTTATTATCTTACTTGTCAACAATAACTATGACAGGTTTGTTGGGCTGGGTAAAATGCTGCAGGTTTTATTGTCAAATTTCAAATTAATAAAGAATCCAAAAATCTTTTTCTTTTTTTTTTTTTCTTTTTTGTGAGGCAACCACATTCCCTACAAATCTCAGTGATGGCAACAGTAGTTTCATGTAGGGGATATTGGGCAGACATGTTAGCATCATGTCATCTTGGGGGAAAGTTAAGGGGTGAGACTTAAGGTTTGTCAATTTTGATTTTCTTAAGAAATATTTATGACTGACCAGATGAGTTTGAAATGCTCGTTTTGTTGGGAAAATCTTAAAACTAGATCTAATACGTGGGGAACATTTTAAGGTGTGTTTTAATTAATGTGATGATAGTTCAACTTCAAAAAAAAAAAAAGGAAAAAAAAAAATTGATGATGGTTAAATTTGAGTTTACAATTCTCTTTTGACTTCTCATTTTAAAGAGCGTTTTAATTAATGATTTTTTATTGCCATTGTAGATCCATTATCAGCAGAGATCTTGGTGATGGGCTTACCCTCAAAAATCCAAGAATTTCCTACACGAGTGGTTATTGGGAATTCTCAGGATAGAATAAGCCATTTGCCAGATGGAATCCTCTGCCACATTCTATCCTTTCTTCCCACAAAATATGCAGTGGGAACCAGTGTTCTATCAACCCGATGGAAGTACCTTTGGACCTTTATTCCAAATCTTGAGTTTGATGACACATTGTTGTTTACTGCTGAAGAGTCTAAAAGACACCCAGTAGCAACGTGCTTCATGAATTTTGTGGACAAGGTGTTAGATCTCCATGACGTATCTTATATTACGAATTTCAGCCTTAAATGCAGTGAAGACTATGATTTGTCACGTGTTGATGCATGGATCTCTACTGTAATGAAGAAAAATGTTCAAGAGCTTGATCTCTATTTCTTTATGAATTATCCCATTGCCTTACCTCGATGCCTATTTACTAGTGAGTCACTCAAGGTCCTTAAGCTAACCTATGAGATCACTTTTGATATTCCTACGGATGCCCATTTTCCAAATCTCAGGGTAGTCCATCTCACTTCAGTTCTATTTCAAGATGGGAACTCTACGCAACGGCTTATCTCTGGTTGTCCTGTCCTTGAAGTTTTAGTTATTGATAAATCTGGAATTGATGGTATAGAGGTTTTCAATGTATGTTCTCCTACATTAAAGAGGTTCACACTATCTTGTTGCCTAGATAACTTGGAAGATGATTGCGAATGCACTTTTCTGGTTGAAGCCTCAGCCCTTGAATACTTTGAGCTCACAGATATTGTACAGAACCACTATACTTTGACAAACTTATGTAGCCTAATCAATGCGAAAATTGATGTGCTGTTCTGCAGAGAGAGAGCTTTTGAGATACTTCAAGGAATCTTCATGGTGAAATACTTATCATTATCTTATTTTATGGTGGAGGTAAGCATACTATTTTCTGATGACCAGATATAAAGTATGCTCTATTTTCTTCACATTCTTTGTTCCCTTTGACACTTACACCAGTTGAAACTTTTCTCACAATTGCATGACTTGTGTTACTTGTGCAGGCTCTCTATGAATCTAATAAGGATTTTCCCATTTTTCGGAACTTGATCTATATGGATTTGGCGAATGAGGATTATGTCGGGCAATTGTCGCAACTATCTCAGCCACCTGAAACTGCATGTAACCAAGATGCTATAAACAAGTTACTTGAAAGTTCACCTGCCTTAGAAGTTCTCATTCTAAATGCTGTAAGTCTATTTAGGAACTTCATTCCACTTTTTCTTCCTGTTTACGGGTTGCAGTTTCCAACATTGATGATTCTTTCGTCATTAGGAACACGTGCGTCTTTCAAATTGGAGTCCTCCTCAAAGTGTGCCTGGTTGTCTTGTGTTACATCTCGAGGCACTCGAAATCAGAGGATTCAAAGAGCAGGAAGAGGTGATGCTTCTTGCTAATTACTTTCTGGAAAATGCAAAGGTCTTGAAGAAGATGACCATTGTTTCTGTTGGTTTAGATGTGGAACAAGAGCTGAATATTTCCAAGAAAGTCTTATCTTTACCAAGGGGCTCTGATAATTGTCAAATTAGCATCTCTAATAAGGCTTTATCTTAAGACCTTATTGTGGATATAACTAACATGGAGCTGTTGATTCTCGTTAGTTTGTGTTGTTGTATGCAATTGGTTGTTGAACTGTATGCACTAGATTATTCTTAGAAACATAATCCTTCTAAATTTCTAACGTCTCGCTCTTTGTGCAAATTCGCAATTTGGGAGAGAATTCTCCATGAAGTCATACTCTCGTTTTACAAAATTCTTAAATTAAAATTTTTAATTCCGAATTCGACTAATTAACACTCTTACTTATTATTACTCAAATTTTTGTTTGGGAAGTATTGACCTAGGCTTAAAGATAAATATCAAAGTAGAATAATATTTGTAAACTATAACTCTCATTTTAGGACTTTATAATTAACATATATTTAAAAATTAAATAGATTGACTCATAGTTGTCCATGATATTTTAATTTTATATATTTTATTTATATTAAATTTTTATGGACGAATGTGTATCTATATTCATATAATATGACGCTCCCACTCTTGATTTCAATTTTTTTTAAATGTTGATGTTTTTGCGCTCCCGTCCGCACCCCGCTCCAACTCTATGTGATCTAGAAATTATGTCTTTGATCTATGTTATAACACCTCTTTTTTTTTTGGGAATAATCTTACTTTAATTATAGAAAAAAATATTATAAAATTATCCATGCCACCTAACCAAAACCTTTTTACAAGTATAAAAAGGTGTTAAACTTAACATGTTATCACCCAGCCGGTCTTTAATAGACAGAGCTTATTAGGGTATTAAATGGCAAAAATAAACATAACCAAAATTGGTATAAATAGCTTATATCACAAGTCTATTAAAATCAAACTTTGTTGTATGAAGAATTTATTCCAAAAAATTGGTGGATCAATGCACGAGGCTCCCACAACTATATAGTTTTATGTCCACCCAATAACCCCCACCCCCACCCCCACCCCCACCAACAGTGAACTCAATGACAGTGAAGTATACGATAATGAACTCAATGACAGTGAACTAAAAAATCAAATTCTTCTTTTATCCACAATATATAACAAAACACTCTCTTCCATCACAATTCTACTGCCCCTACCGACAACGCTACCCCTAATCCTGACCCTAATATTATTGGACAATTACTTATGAATGTATTACGCAACATGAGTGAGTATCTCCTAGTAGATAAACAAGCCAATTCGTATTTGATTTGTATTTGGCATGCTTCTGCACTTAGATGAGTATCCATCTTGTATATAATATAATTGTAAAATTTAAGTAATCAAATTAGTGGAACACATTAATAATATATGAAAAATAGTTGGACAAACACTAATAAGAATGATTGAAGACACGAAATCATGCACCCACACCTAATGTTGCAACTTTTGTGAAAGCTTCCTCGAGAGCAATCAAACTTTTGTGATCAACATTGGCAATCCACCCTCAAGACAATCAAGAAAAGTTAAAACATAATATATGGAAGGCATGAAAGCATGCATCCACACGTATTGTAGCAACTTGGAGATCAAAAAGTAGCTACGGCCATCCACCCACGAAATTAACCTGAATTACATATTCTACTTTTAGAGTTTCGAGTAATTGTGTGAAAAATTTATAGAAAATAAATATTAGGTGGTTATATCTATCTATACTACTATAAAATGTCGAGAAAAGTGAAAAAAAATTGTTTGACTAAAATAGCTTTAATAAAATAAGTAATGCTCCATATATCCTTTCTTAAAAAAAAATCAAATTCCTTTATTATCTATATCAAATTCCTTTATTAGGTCCTATTTAAACCTTGCACAATTGTATAACACGACTTTTGTAAGCCAGTTTTTCTCTTTTTTTTAACCCTTCGCCATTCCATCTTCCACTTAAATAACTGGTAAAATAATTGTTGAATGAAACATTATTGTTCCGATAATGGTATAAACAAATCACCTTTTATTTGTTAACTTCATTTAACCCTTGACTTTTGTATTTCAGCTTCTGATGACTGCTTCTCTTATTCTCAATACAATATCCATAACTCATACATAAAAACTTTTGTACGATCCATATTCTGAGTTAATGATAAAGTCTACAATGAAGATTGATGATGCATAAATTAGTTTTATGAACCACCTATCAAGTAATTAATAATTAATGCAGTAATTAAGTAGAAAGAGAATAACACAAGCAAGACAGATGTTGAGTGGTTCGATCAACGTGACTTACTCCACTATGAAAGGTTAGGATGACTTGGTGTTTTATTACTTTGAAGAGTGAAAGGAGATTAGGAGAGAGCAATGGAGGTACAAACTATGAGAGAGTGATGAGAGTGATAGCAGATGTGATTCGGTGCCCCCTAAGTATTGGTGGGGCTTACAATTTATAGTGTCTCTTAATAGACTAAGACACATTTTTAGTAATTAAGTAGCTAATTTAGTGGAGCTGGTGCTATCCTCTCAACGGCTGAGGTGTTTACGGAGCTCCCTTAAAAATCAAGACAAAGGATGACATGGTTGACTTTTTCAGGCAGTGTGGATGAGGCTCTTGGAATGGCGTTGCCTACTCCTTGGTGATATAGCTTCTCAAACCCTGATGAGCCTGACTGGGTGTGAGCCTCCTTTGGGTTGGACACATTGGGTTTCATTTAGTTGGACTCTTTATTCAAGCTGGGCTCATAACATAAGTTGTGCCCTTGGGTCTACCCCTATCATTTGCCCCCAATGCCCCAAGTCCAATAAAACTTGGAGAATAAGAAATTTGGTTGAATCCGAATTCTGGCTGATAAAGACTCCTTTTGAATGAAGACCTCTTTTCCTCCCTGACATCTCTGTAGGACATCTTCAGCTATATAAACTCTCCCCCCCCCCCCACCCCCACTATATTTCCTTGTAGGATCTTAAAACCCCTAGGCAATAAATTGGGGGGGTTTTCCCTTTATCTCCATTCCACACAACTTTAGAGAGGGTTTCTTTGTGAGATATCCAAGAACTCAAACAAGATGAGCGAGGCTCGTGACCTTGTTCCTGAGATAAGTGCTCATATTTTGCGTGAAGGAGAGGAGATTGGAGCTGTAACGCCCCAAAATTTCTCTTGGACGGCATTACATCTAAAACCATTCACATCATGAGAGTAACTACCAAAATCCATCAATAAAGAGAATTTTCATTCATCATATATAATATCTACTACATTATCCCAAAGGAATATATCAAACCATGACCATAATATCAAAAGAATATGTCAAACTATGACAATTATATCCAAAAGAATTAAATGTAACTTTGTAGCGGAATAACAAAAGATTAACATGAACATTATCTCAAAAGAAATTTCCTAGTCTAGGACATAGATATAACAATCCTAGATATCCCCCTCCAGATCCACATGCCTATCCACTTGAGCTTCCCAAGGTACCTGCTCATTGACTCCAAATTCTTCCTCTAAGCTATAATCTGAAAAGTATGATATTTGTAAGGGGTGAGCACTAAGCTCTGTAGGAAAAATCTTCCAAACTCGAACAAGGTTTGGAAACCATGTAAAATCAGTCGGTCTCATTTCGTAATTATTATACATAAATTTTGAAAGAAAACAGTGACATTTTAATAGATCTCAAGTTTACATAATTGCAATAAATTAAGTGAAGTAATAACGTCAAATTACAAATAACAAATCATTTTCAACCATAAACTGTTTTCCACAAGTTCTTGTAGAATCTCATACTTCCACAATCTCTTGTAGAAAATAGTTTCTGGTACAATAAACCATAAACTCACAACTTGTATTCGTATCTTAAGTAGGATGTATGATTCGTATGAATAAACACATCGAGAATATCCTGGCCCACACACACAGTCTCAAATCCTTGCAAGGATATCCAACCTATAAGAAGGGTGTATACCAACTCATGGCAGTGACAAATCTAACCCAGGAATAGTATACTAACCCTCAGTCTCGATAATAGATGAGCGAATAGTGGTTTGGTCATCGCAAGACACCAACCCCACTACGAGTGATAGGAAACTCTCAAACCCACACAGAGTAAAAAATGCATCTAACCCACTCTACGATATCTGGTCAACGACCACCCATGGTTATCCAAACATTTACAAGAGATACAATATCCAATCAATTTCTCCAATCACAAATACATTCAAAAATCTCCAAATTTCACAAGTAGTATCCCAATAGAACAATTTAAGAAAATATGCAAGAGATCATCATAAATACCATTTTGTGGTTCAATATAAAGCACTAAAATTTTGAAATCAAGAACAATTGAACATTAAGAAGAAAATCTATTTTTCTCAAAACTAGGGTTTTCATGGCTATCAAACCATAAACACCTTCAAAATATGGTGATATTTGTAAGAACTTCAAGACACAAGTATTTCATAGCATATATCTAAGGTTTAGAAGCAAAACACACACACATATATATATAAACCCTAACCTCAATGAACATGAATGGAAGAAAACCCCTACCTTCTTCTTCCTTGGTTTTTGTGTGAAGAACTTGAGATTTGATCTTTTCTCAACTTGAATCCACTCTTAATCTCTTGTTTTTCTCCTCTTTTCTTCCTCTCTAATACTTTCTAAGGTTATAAGTGTTGAAATAGGGCTAAGGGATGCGGCCTTATGTATTTATAGGGTGAGAAAAAAGTTCAATCGATGTAAATTTGATGTTCTGATTCGCTACTCATGTTCGAACATCATGTGCTCCTAGTATTTTTTTTTCATCAGACAAAAAGTACTGGAACACACTGTCATTTGAACGGACTTTCACATTTGAACGTACTCCCTATTTCTGCTGAAACTTCCAGTGCAGGTTTGACCTATTTAGAGGTCGATTTGAAAAATTTTGTGAAATACACTTTTCTAGCCCTAGAAGTCTAATATCTATTGTCAAAATTTCAGATCAAATGGGCATCAGAATAAAAAGTTATGATCCAAATACTAAGGTAGTGTCTAATTTCTTCCTACCCAAATTCTTTCTAGAATGTGTCTTAACTCCGGGATACTTCCTAACTTTATTACACCCCATATTACCTCCCAATGTTTCTTGATCTTTTGGATTCAATGGACAACTTATTTTGACCTAAAAGTATTTAGAAACTCACCTACAACCCCTTCCAAGTTTAAACACCTTCGAAACTT